CGTGGTCGTCGCCAGTCGTCCTGTTCTCGTGGCTGTGTCGTGGTCGTCGCCCCAGCAGTTGCTCGGACTTTAGTTTGAGGTCACACCCTCTCGTTTAGCTTCCTGTTGCTATTGTCTACCTCACATCTTTCCATGTTTCTCTGAGTGTGTCTCAGTTTCTCTCTCATTTATTCATCGCACTGTTATATATTTCACACCTATAAGTCAACACAGTTAACTGGCACAAGGAGAACACTTTTCTTCTGCTGGAGTGTTGTTGACTGTGTGTGTGTGTGGTTCTGTTGTATTCCGCTAGATGACACCACCAGCTCCTACCTCCATTAATCTACCACCCATAATCTCTACAAAAAATCTATAGATGTATTGAGTATTAATCCTTGTAATCATATTGGACCTTATAGTGTGTGTATAGGTGTAAACAAAAGACGGTCTAGTGATGTTTTGATCTCCCGACACACTCATTAACGTCTCATGTTTACTACCTTGGTTATGTTGTTCAGTCTCGTGCTAATGTAACCCCTGAGATGACGACCCCTTGAGTAGTTATAAAGTCTTCTTCTTTTTTCTTTTTCTTCTTCCTCCTCTTCTTTCTTCAGCCATTCCCAAAGGTCATGGTTAAGCTTCTCGAATCCCCCACGTCCACGTTCCTCACTCCTCACTCCCATAATCTGATTGGCTCTCACGTCAGGATATAAATCAGATAATGAGCCTTAAAATATATATCAGGTAACGTGAGAGGCGAGGAGGAGTCAGTCAGGAAGAGAAATGTACATGAGTTCTACACAAAAAGAAATATATTTTATTTGTGGGTTAATTGACTTAATGTGAGAGTTACGTGACGTGTGAATATTTCAAAAGTTGTGTTGACGTTTTTTCGTTGGAGGGGGTTGGGGGGAATACAGTGTTTATTTTGTTGGGGATGTTGACATTATTTTGTTGGGGATGTTGACATTATTTTGTTGGGGATGTTGACATTATTTTGTTGGGGATGTTGACATTATTTTGTTGGGGGTGTTGACATTATTTTGTTGGGGGTATTGAATTCTCTTATTTCGAAGTTTAATCTATAAACATTACAGTATGCTGATGATATCACGGAGGGGGGAAGGGGGGAGGGGAAGGAGGGGAAGGGGGAGAGGGGGTGGGGCGAGGCTCTGACAATAGTGAGAGGATTTCGTGTTGCTAAAACCTGAAGGTTGACGCAACATTTCCAGGCGTAAATAATCCAAGAATACGAAGAGCAAAGTTTCGACTCTGGTCTGTGGAGGCCAACCTCACCTCGCCTCGCCTCGCCTCGTAAATTTTAATGAGTGTAGGATGCCGAGGTGCGGACACACTCTGCAGTCAGAACCCACGCTCAGGGAAGTCACTCACGCTGCTGGAGGACAAAGACTACAGTCACCTCAGTCCACGGGTAGTCACTCAGTCAATCACTCAAGTCAGTCACTCAGTCAATCACCCAGTTTATCACTCAAGTCAGTCACTCAGTTAATCACTCAAGTCAATCACTCAGTCAATCACTCAAGTCAATCACTCAGTCAGTTCTACACGAAGCCTCATACGGCCCATGGCATAATCATCTCATAATTTTGAAGACGATTCTACCTGAACTTGGCCGCCAGGTGTGTACAGGTAGACCCAGCTACTGTGTCCCCCCCCCCAACCCACAAAGAGCCTCATCCTCCTGAAGGCTCCACAAAGAGTCTCATCCTCCCGAAGGCTCCACAAAGTCTCATCCTCCCGAAGGCTCCACAAAGAGTCTGATCCTCCTGAAGGCTCCACAAAGAGTCTGATCCTCCTGAAGGCTCCACAAAGAGTATCATCCTCCTGAAGGTTCCACAAAGAGTCTCATCCTCCCTGAAGGCTCTTGCCAGAAGAGTCTCTCATCCCTCCCCGAAGGCTCCAGGCCAAAGAGCCCCACCTCCTGAAGGCTCCACAAAGAGTATCATCATCCTCCCGAAGGCTCCGCACAAAGGCCCCATCCTCCGAAGGCTCCAAGAAGAGCCCATCCCCTGAAGGCTCCACAAAAGAGTCTCATCCTCCTGAAGGCTCCACAAAGAAGTCTGATCCTCCGAAGGCTCCATAAAGAGTTCCCATCCTCCCTGAAGGCTCCACAAAGAGTCTCTATCTCTCCTTGAAGGCTCAATAAAAGAGTATCACCTCTGAAGGCTCTGTACAAAGAGTCTCATCTCCTGAGTCACCAAAGAGTCTCTCATCCTCCCGGAAGGCCCAGTAAAGAGTCTCATCCCTCCCGAAGGCTCCACAAAGAGTATCATCCTCCCGAAGGCTCCACAAAGAGTCTCATCCTCCCGAAGGCTCCACAAAGAGTCTGATCCTCCTGAAGGCTCCACAAAGAGTCTCATCCTCATGAAGGCTCAAAGCAGTTAAGTCTTCATCTCAGAATAGTTCCTGGACCTTCATAAGCATTACAAGGTGTGTCTATATAGAGAAATAACTTGTAAACAGCGATACAAGCAAGTGGGCCATAGCTCCTGCTATCCTGTAGCTTATTTCCCACCTTTGAGTTGATTTAGTAAACACTTAGCATGCATTTCACCTGATGATTTTAACACCTCAGCTTATTTCACCTGATGATTTAAACACCTCAGCTTAGTTCACCTGATGATTTACCTCAGCTTATTTCACCTGATGATTTAAACACCTCAGCTTATTTCACCTGATGATTTTAACACCTCAGCTTATTTCACCTGATGATTTTAACACCTCAGCTTATTTCACCTGATGATTTTAACACCTCAGCTTATTTCACCTGATGATTTAAACACCTCAGCTTATTTCACCTGATGATTTAAACACATCAGCTTATTTCACCTGATGATTTAAACACCTCAGCTTATTTCACCTGATGATTTAAACACCTCAGCTTATTTCACCTGATGATTTTAACACCTCAGCTTATTTCACCTGATGATTTTAACACCTCAGCTTATTTTACCTGATTTTAACACCCCAGCTTATTTCACTAGATGATTTTAACACCCCAGCTTATTTCACCTGAAGATTTTAACACTCCAGCTTATTTCACCTGATAATTTTAACACTCCAGCTTATTTCACCTAAGGATTTTAACACTCCAGCTTATTTCACCTAAGGATTTTAACACCCCCAGCTTATTTCACTTGAAGATTAAATACCCCAGCTTATTTCAACTGATGATTTTAACACCCCAGCTTATTTCACCTAAGGATTTTAACACCCCAGCTTATTTCACCTGATGATTAACCTTCCTAACGTTACTTGGGAGGTTAAGCTACGTTTGGTTAGGTTAGGTTAGGTTAGGTTAGGTTAGGTTAAGTTAGGTTAGGTTATGATAGGTTAGGTTAGGTTAGGTAAAGTTGATAAATCTTCAGGTGAAACAAACTAGGTATATCTTATCTTCAGGTGATCAAATACTTCTTATCATAGTGTCAGTAATCTCCTCACTCACAAATATTTACATCACAAACAAAACATTCAAAATTCTATTCAGATTCCGTCCCCTTTAAAATTTATTTCCCCAACTATAATTTCTATTCATATTTCCCCTAACATTTACCCTCTTCAATAATAATAATAATAATAATAATAATAATAATAATAATAAAAATAATGATAATGATAATACTACTACTACTACTACTAATAATAATAATAATGATAATAATAACTACAAAAATAATAATAATGTCGGGTAAATACGAAGGCGTCGAGAGGGTTGGTTGGCGGGCCATTCTTCACGACCAGGTAAAAGAAGTAAACAGTGCTGTTATCATGGCGAAGAAAGCATCAGAAGACTCGCCAGGGTGACTCAGGGAATATCTACGACTGAGAGAACAAACACACACACACACACACACACACACACACACACACACACACACACACGTGAATAAGTTACACTACACGAGGGATATTTTCCGCTGACATTTTGCCTATAGTCCAAACAGTCGTCACGGGAAGTTAGTAAGATCAAGTATACAATCAGGTATAAGAGAGTCAATCAGCAGGTAGCGACGTTAAAGTTAACAATTACTAAATACTAAACTTAGGAGCTGTGTGTTGTGTTGAGTTGTGTCGAGTTGTGTTGTGTTGAGTTGTGTTTTGTTTTGCTTGTGGTGGGAGGGAGAGGGATAGGGAGGGAAGGGGGGAGGAGAGAAAGATTTTGTACACAAGTTATTAGATCTATTAATTAAAAGGTTTGATGATCACAATTACGAGGTAGTAGGCAGCTATCAAACAGGAAGGCACTACCGCCTGGGAAGATATTGGAAGCATATTGTGTTGTCTAATGGTAGACCCTGCTGCCATATGTGACCAAGTCCCAGGTTGATGATCTGACTTTCTGCCTCATTTACACACAATTGCAGGGTCTTAATTGTTTCTCTTAACCTAACCTAACCCACATCACTTAACCTAACCTAACCCACATCACCTAACCTAACACCAAAGATTTTCGAATATATCTCCGTCGACACTGACAAAATCACCACAAAAGGGAGAGAAAATGTTGTTTTATGCAGCCTGATGAGATTATCCCCTTGTTGAGCATCACCGGCACTCGTTTGAAGTAAATTGATTTTCATATGTGCAGTATTGAATATGTAAAATAGGCTACTTTTATTATTACATATTGTTGTTGTTGTTGTTGTTGTTTTGGGAAGATGTTATACATAGTGGAAGAAATTGCAGCTTGTTGAGGGATCTATGTTACAGGTTTGTTGCTAACACGACAGTATATTGGGAACCTATTTCAGTAAGTGTGAGACGTATAGTTATTTTTAATGTAGTATTTCATTCATATATATATATATATATATATATATATATATATATATATATATATATATATATATACAGAGAGAGAGAGAGAGAGAGAGAGAGAGAGAGAGAGAGAGAGAGTACAGGTATGTGGTGTTCAAAATTGCTTCACATTATCGGGTCAATTAATAGTGACAAGTCTTGGTTGAAGGTTTCGTCTTGTATTTATCGTTACAGTGTAACCATGTGGCGTTGTCACTGACTGTTGTGTCTTGCAGGTATGGTGGTGTGGTGGCTGGCGTGGGCGTACCTCCTGGACTTGGCACAGGCGTTCTGTCCTCCCGGGTGTTCCTGTGATGACGCCGCGCCCAGTGCCAGCTGTGTGGGTATGAGCCTCAACGTGGTGCCCATCCTCTTCAACCCGGGCCTATGTCGCCTCAACCTCGCCCATAACTCTATCAGCTCCATTGACGAAGCCTTCGTCTTCCTCGACAAGCTACAGGAGCTCGACCTGTCTCACAATCTCCTCATCTCTGTGAGAACTGGGAACTTCAAGATGCAGTCGGGGTTGTTGGAGCTGCGCCTCGCTCACAACAACATCACCTCCTTCACCAGCGGTGCATTTAGGGGTCTGGTAGCCCTCAGGACACTTGACCTGAACCACAACAGCCTCCCTGACCTACCTGTAGGAGTGCTAGACGACCTGCCGCAGCTCACTGTCCTTCACCTTGCACACAATCGCCTGCACATACTAACACAACGAACGTTCCGAGGACTGCGAGGACTTTTACTTCTTGATCTGTGTGACAACTACTTCCGGCACGTCCCCACGACGGCCTTTGAGGACTTGACGTCACTACAGACTCTTCATCTTTGCCGCAATCGCCTGACGCGCCTTGATCCTCTCGCCTTCCCCACCGACACCCTCACCTCCCTCACGTTGGACACTAACAACATCGATAGTCTTGACAAAAGAGCATTCCTGCGTCTTCAGCAGCTACAAGAACTCAGACTAGACTGCAACACACTTCACGAGGTGCCAACAGAAGCCCTGTCCCTATTAGTCACGCTAGATTTTCTTTCGCTAAGTAGAAATAAGATAAAAACTATCGGGCCAAATGCTTTTCGGGGCCTTGGTCGCCTCTCTACGCTAGAGATATCACGGAGTCCACACTTAGAGAGTGTACACCCGGAGGCCCTCGACGGGTGTAGAGGACTGCAGACTCTGACCATCTCCCACAACCCTCTTCTAAGACACCTGCCAGCGGGCCTCCTCACCTCCCTCCACAGTCTGCGTAGCGTCGACTTACGCGCCAACGGCCTGCAGAGTTTCCCTGAAGCTGAGGTGCCGTGGAGTTCCTTAAGAAAGATGGACCTTCGAGACAACCCGTTGGTGTGCAACTGTTCGCTTCAGTGGCTGGCTGAGCTGCTAGGGTCCTCCAACACCTCCCTGGCCGCCCCTGACCTTCAGTGTGCTGCCCCTGACAAGCTCCAGGGACTCTATCTCTCCAGGTAAACTTAAGAGCCTGTTTTCTTTTTTTGTTCCTCTAGTGAAGTAAACTCAAACCTTCATCATCAAAATTATAGTTATTTAATCCCCTAAAAGTACCAAAGGCCGCAGCGATATGACTACATTCAACAGCATATATTTGTTCTTTATATTACGTTCAAAATTATACTTCCTTGGTGACTGTGGGCTGTAGTACAAGGTGTGTAGTGGAGGACAGTATGGTGACCCACTACACCTACCAGCACCTCTCTCTCTCTCTCTCTCTCTCTCTCTCGTATAATCATCTTTGTCGTTTGTGTTTTAGTATTGTTTATCTTCCTACTTACTCACCCTCTACGTATGTCATCTCTGCCCTCACACATCAGTCACTCCTACAGCTGGGGGAAGTCAGCCTTGATCGTCCCTAGTCCTCTTCCTGTCAGCAAAATCCAGTCTAATACCACGTACATTTATTCTTGATCTCTCTCTCTCTCTCACTCTCTCTCTCTCTCTCTCTCTCACACACACACTCTCTCTCTCTCTCTCTCTCTCTCTCTCTCCTACGTGTGTTATATAGTGATGTCTCTCGTCTTACTGTACTGCCACTTGGTTCCCTTAACAGCTAGTGTGCCACCAACAACAGCCACGTACCGGCACTGTCTATCTCCACCGTTATTGTTTATATAAAGTCACTGTCTATATATACACTGTCACTGTCTATATACACTGTCACTGTCTATATACACTGCCACTGAGTCCTCTTTAAGTACTGCTGCTTGGTGATTGCCGTGGTAACTGAGGCCTCTTAAGTACTGCTGCTTGGTGACTGCCGTGGTAACTGAGTCCTCTTAAACTGCCATGGTAACCGAGGCCTCTTAAGTACTGCTGATTGGTGACTGCCGTGGTAACTGAGTCCTCTTTAAGTACTGCTGCTTGGTAACTGCCGTGGTAACTGAGTCCTCTTAAGTACTGCTGCTTGGTGACTGAAACATGGTGTCTTCCCCCAGGTTGGTGCCGAGTGAGCAGCTGTGTGGTGAGCGGGTCCAGGTGTTGGTGGGCCTCGTGGTGATCACTGCCTCCACCGTCCTCATCCTCACCCTCTCACTCCTACTGTGCAGGTAAGTCACCCCTTGAGACATATGGCTGAGAGACCCCTTGAGACATATGGCTGAGAACCCCTTGCGACATATGGCTGTGAGACCTCTTGAGACATATGGCTGTGAGACCCCTTGAGACATATGGCTGTGAGATCTCTTGAGACATATGGCTGTGAGACCCCTTGAGACATATGGCTGAGATCTCTTGAAACATATGGCTGAGACTCCTTGAGACGTATGGCTGTGAAACCCCTTGAGACATATACAGTAGCTGTGAGACTCCTTGAGACATATAGCTGAAGAATCCTTTAAGGCCCTTGAGAGATTACTATGGCTGATAACCCTCTAATATATATATATATGGCTTTGAGGGCATTTAAGTGAGATCCTATAAATTTTAAAACACATGACGGTAAGATCTCTTGAGACATATGGCTGTGAGACCCTTTAAGACACATGGCTGAAGCGGGAGTTCGTGGTAAAGTTATATGTACCTACCTATGTTCTCAGTAGCCATAATTCCCACAAGACGACGAGGGGTCATTCATAAAGCCTGTCTTCCCTTGTAAAATTCCCCAGATGGCATAATCCATCGCCCTATTTCTCCCTCCCTCCCATTCTTTCTCTCCTTCTCCCTCTGTCTCTCTCCCTACCTCGGTTCTGTAGCCTTGCCCCTCATAAACCCTGAGGGACATCATAGTGAGCGATCATATGTCCCTCCCAGAAACAAACATAACATGACCTACAATAAGCGTGGTTATGAGAGCCATCTGGTGAGAGATTATGTTATATTAGCCAAGGTTAGGGTGATGAAACTAATGTATTTTGGATCTTTCTGTCGAGAGAGGGTATGGTTTGGTTAGGATAGGTTAGGTTAGGTTAGGTTAGGTTAGGATAGGTTAGGTTAGGTTAGGTTAGTGGTGGATGCTGGAACTTTTCTATACTCGTTTACGTATGTTATTAAGGATTTTCTCTGTGTGTGAATCCAACTATCTTACTTTACCCTTTAAATGTTTTGCCTCGTGAAATAAAAAAGAGAACGGTGCCCAAAGACCCGAAATACATTACAACAACAAAAGTTACGAACATTACACGCGTCCTTTATTACTAAGAGTTTGTTATATTTAATTACGCGTCTGGCTGCTGCTGCTCCCTCTGGAAATGAGTTCAATAACCTCAACTGGGAGGAAGTTTGGGGAGTGATGAAACGGTGGCAGCAGTGAGCCAGGTCCTGATCCTGGCCTCGTGCACACTCTCACGTCGTCTGTGTTGACCTGTGGATCGGCCTGACCTTTACAAGTCTTTATTGAGCGCGTCGTAAACTGGTCCTCTCCTGGTGATGGCAGGCGATGGAACAGGGAGATGGTAGGGCCTACACCCTAAAAAGACTCTTGTACTTCAGTCATTTGCATCATCTCTATGCAGACGCCATAGTTACACTCTCTTTTGTTTACGTGCAGTTAGATATAAGACACCAGTTCTCTCAAATTCACATTAATATTTTCAAACGTTCACCATATCCTAAAAAAAAAAACCCTATTTTCTTTCAAATGTTTCCTATTTTCTGCTAAGACGTGTCCAATTGACACTCTTGGTCAAGCTGCCCCTCGTCTCATACGAGTTCAATACCCGATATGTTTTCCAATTTACTCTCATACATAACCGCACTCTTGCCTTACCTTCCCCCAGCTATGATTTCATCTTCTTTAACAACTACCTCCTCCTCTTTCTCTCTGACTGTGTAAAACAAGTATTTACACTACCTTTGGTATTCACAGATACTGGCGCCGACAACAACGGGCCAAGCTGGGCAGCGGGTGGCCTCCTGACCCTCTGGGGGCCCCTTGGCCGCCTCAGGGGCGTCCTCTTCCCAATAGGCACATCATGGCTGAGGAGTACGTGTACCACACCCCGGCCTCCATCACGAAGGTCCCCGTCACCAAAGTTTAATTTGGTCTTCATCATAAGTTTTCGTGATTTGTGGGGAAACCAGTCAACCTTAGGAGACACCAAGGCCCACGACTCCCTGTACTGACAAGATTTACTTCTGTTAAGACCACAGCAAGAGCCAAGGCCGAAGCAAAAGGAAGGTCGTCCTCACACACACACACATCAAACAAACTCCTTCTATCCTGAGGACTGTCTTAGCACTGAAGATCTACAATGTTGTTGGTACTGACCTGATCAACAGGTTTTCTGTATACTGTATATAACTGATGTGGATGTGTACGACGTTGATCACCGTCAGCTGACACACCTCCCAGTATGTCTTAATTATAAACGAACTATAAACTGTTCACAGAAGCTTCCTCGTTAACAGACTCTTGTTGGCAGAAGCACATAAGTCTGTTAAAGTCTGTTAATAAATGTTAAATAGATATTCAAATTTTGTCTCCACTGCACAGTTTTACATTAACACTCTTAACCCATCTATTAAGGGAATGAATACAACTATAGCGAGGCGTGTGTCGTTCACCAGGTACCCGGCGAGAGGATGAATACCAGTTGATCCCTTTACTGTATACTGGAGCAACAGGTTCACCACGTCCTCATGTATAGCTGAGGTGCAAAGGCTTTTATTTCCCTCTTTGACTAGTATTAAGAAAAGCTAACAATAGATTAAGAGAGAAGTTGTACGACTAATTTTTACCTTCAGATTATCGCTTTGCCGTTGAGAATACCGCTACCTGCAGTGTAACTCACCACAGACCCGTGTTCCATGTAGAAATATACAAGCACATAAAAGACGATGACAAATAATGTACCTGTATATTTTTGTAACTTATACATACATACATACATACATACATATATACACACATGTTTCTTTTAGCTGTATTGTCATCACATATATTTATCAAGATGTTTTTCACTGCACCAGAAACGTTTATCCAGGATCAACAAACGTAGACAACATTTCTCTCAGCCAGACTGTAAACAAATAACGTTCCCAGATGTCGCCGCGACGCTGTGGTGATGGGACCTCCTGTGTTACTCTTGTGTTACTGCTGTGTTACACCTTCTATGTTACTCCTATATAGTGTTACTCCTTTGTCCTTCACCTCACCACCAACACTTCTCCACCCCCACCCTTCCCCTCCCCCACCCACTTCACCCCCCCCACCACACCCCTCCACTCCCCCCTACCCTCCCACCAACTCGCTCTATTACATGAGGGAGACCGATGCATTATCATGGTACATCGCTGACTCTTTAATAAAACCCAAAGCGTGATGGTAAAATAATATATAATAATGATTTAGATAATTACTCGTCCAACCAGACAGTATAATAATCGTCAATCTTATTTTTTTTTTAATACGACTGGAATAAGTCACTAGTAGATGTATAGAGGACGATAATACGTCAAATTTCACTATACAGGAATGAGCTTTTAGTGGCAAGATAGTGAAGAATTTACGAATCACGTGAGTTCTTAAGACACCACCAGCTTATTTCACCTGAAGATTAAACACCCTCACGCTACCTGGGTGGGAGTGGGTTAGGTTAGGTTAGTTTAGTTTTGGTTAGGTTTGGTTAGGTTAGGTTAGTTTTGGTTAGGTTAGTTTTGGTTAGGTTTGGTTAGGTTAGTTTTGGTTAGGTTTGGTTTGGTTAGTTTTGGTTGGTTTGGTTAGGTTTGGTTTCGGTTAGGTTAGCATTAAGTTGGTAAGTTTTAAGATGAACTAAGCTGGGGTGTCTAATCCTCACGTCCGTCACAGTAGGAGGCGTCCGTGAGTGGTGGGCGACCGTGACAGTGGGAAGCGTCCGTGACAGTGGTGTGGACGTCCTTATCCATACCAAACATCCTTATCCATACCAAACATCCTTATCCATACCAAACGTCCTTATCCATACCAAACGTCCTTATCCATACCAAACGTCCTTACCCATACCAAACATCCTTATCCATACCAAACATCATTATCCATACAAACATTATCCATACCAAACATCCTTATCCATACCAAACATCCTTATCCATACCAAACATCCTTATCCATACCAAACATCCTTATCCATACCAAACATCTTTATCCATTTATTTATCAGCACCCAGGTATAGTAGCAATTATAGATACGCAATTTCCACAATCCCTTAAGACTAATACGCTCATATACGCAAACTTTCCTTAACTTTTATTAGGTTTGGTAATGTTCATATTATACGCTATTATTATACGCTATTATTATACGCTATTAATATACGCTATTATTATACGTTCTTATTATACGCTATTATTATACGCTATTATTATACGCTATTATTATACGCTCTTCAGTTATGGCCATACATTCAAGAATTTTGTATTTTTGTAATAAAAGAAAATGAATTAAAGGAAATAACACAGATGGATGATGGTGTTTTTTGTGTTACCTTGATGATTAGAAAATGATTACTGTATGGTCTAACCCTTCAGGTGTACGCAGGTAAGTAGCAGGTGATGAGGCTATCTTCATTACTTATACAGTTGGTTACCATTCATACATAGTAACCACTCACACAGTCACCACTACCCTACTGACAACACAAGAAACCCTTAACAGACAGGTAACTGAAAAGACACAGGTGTATAGATTCATTCCACAGACATAGACAGACAGACAGACAGACAGACAGATAGACAGACAGACAGACACAAACAGATACAGCAGCCAATAAGTGTGAGGGTGTGTGTGTTGCACGTCACTCACTGGCAGGCACTCTTGATTTCCTCTGTGTGTGTGTGTGTGTGTGTGTGGTACGAGGGAGTATTATACCATTTCGTCCCTCCCCCCTCCTCCCCCCCTCTTTGCGTCTATCTATCTATCTATCTATCCTTCCTTCCTTCCCTCCCTCCAGCCATTTTCCCTTCCCTCACTTCATCCATTCACCCGTCCAACCCCATCCCTCCATCCATCCGTCCCCGCAGCCAACCCGCCCTCTCCCCATACCGTCCAACCATCCCTCTCCTCCTAGGACCTCCCTCTTTCCTTCTCACAATGCATCCATCCATCCATCCATCCTTCCATCCAGCTGTCAACACGGTCTAGATAACTCCCTCGTCAATGAAGAGATGGGAGAACGAGTAAGGAACCAGATTGAATGACAAGCGTTGTAGTTAACTTTATTCCCAAACTTATTCGCGAATGAAAGTCGTTTCCGCACAACAACAACAACAACAACACCCACTGTGAACTTTTGAACAATACACAGTGAACTTTTGAACACTATGCGGCACTTGCTTTGTGATTCACCAAACTTGAATAATTAGTTCGAGGGTTCAAGTTTGTAGACAGTAAACATGACCAGCTGAGAGAGAGAGAGAGAGAGAGAGAGAGAGACTCTTTATCGGGTCTTGTTGATTTGTTGAAGGTGTGTGTGTGTACGTGTAAAGAGGAGCAGGTAACTTTATGTTTATATATAGCGTCCACTCTTCATTACTCATCCTCCAGTACTGTTCCATCCATCACTCTCCAATACCATACCCCACCCTAGGTAAACATGATCCTTTTAAAACAACGTAGAATAAGACTTAAGGAACACTCCCATGTACCTTCCTAACTACATTATCAACACGAATTATATATAATCAATATTTTTTTTTAATTCATCTACGAGGCATTTACTTCATTTTAATTTTGCCACTTACACGGGCTAGTTTATTATGCATCCCATACTCAGGTGTTTGGTAAGAACGAAGCGCATATGAAAACTCTCCCGAACCTTGACTCCGCCCAGCAGTGTTACAGGCTGTACCGTTAACCCCAAGACTCGTGTACGTCCATTCCTCCCTGCCAACATCACCAGTAAATGTCATCTACGTCACATCAGCATTTCTTATTTTCTCCAATAATATTAAAAGAATACGGAAATGATAATATATACAAAAGTTTTCCAGTACGAACGGAATTTTGTCTCTAATGTTAAACTGCCAAGACACTAACGGAAAGTTTCGCGTATCCGGACCTTAAACTTGAACGAAACGGTTGGGAGTGGCAGACTTTCTTAAGTAAGCAAGCCTGCACGAAAAATTACTCTGTATTTATTCAGCTATATATTTTGATTTTGTCTTTAATGTAACACATAAAAATATTAGAGGAATGTTACTGCAGAAATTGTGATGTTGGTGAGAGAGAAGCGGGTGAGACGAAGAGAGTGTGATGCCTTCCTTCCCATTCCACGAGTCACAAGAAACCAGTCAGACCAGTCCTCCTCCTCCAGTGTCCGGTGACCCTCCTCAGCCGCACCATCGCCCTGTGCACCCTCCCTTGTCCGCCCTACTTAGCGCCTTGGCCTGTGCTAGCTACTGTCGTTGTGTTGTAGAAATGAGTCAGAAAATCCACTAAATAAATCACACATCCTGAAGATCCAACCATTATATGGAAGTTGTTGTGAACGAGGCCAGGGAATGAGGTACAGACTGCCCTCGACATATAACATTTTTTTTATAAAGTACATAATACTCTTAATGTTCTGTGAGAAATATGATTACTACGAGGTCTGGCGTATAGCGTAGTTATTTAATGAATTACCAGGGCTGAGTGTAGTGCTGACAGTGATATCATCCACAGTGTCAGTAACTATGGTTGCTATGGGAATTAAGTTCCACCTTTATCCTCCAGGTCCGTAGTACTGATTGTGTGTTATCGGATTTGGAATAACAATCCAAAGTGGTATATGTAAATAATTTGCTAATTATTTAATTATCTAGTTAGGTTAGGGAAATGATTACGCGGTGTACAAACATTAGTGGTAAAAACACTATTTGGCATCCGCAAGACGGATTACTTCACGGGAAGTAGTGCGGTATTCCTCTTTCTCTATTGACCACGTTTATATCGTTTAATTTACACGATATCGATGGCAGAAGTTAACTAAAAATGTAAATATGTATTTCTCTTAAGAAATAGTATTGTAAAAAAAAATAATAGTACGCGACTGTCACGTAATTGTACAAGGAAGCAGTGTTACCACTTCGTGGGAATCTCCCACAAATTTGTGTGAGAAATGGAGCTACGTGGGAGGTGTTGTTGGGAGGACGCTCGGTCTTGATAATCTCTGTATATTTTTGTGAATTTTCGGGCAATGGTAAGAATTTTTAATTTCGACATAAATGTTTTGGAGGCAAGCAAAGACGGTGAAAAGAATATATTTCGGTATGAGAGAGAGAGAGAGAGAGAGAGAGAGAGAGAGAGAGAGAGAGAGAGAGAGAGAGAGAGAGAGAGAGAGAGAGAGAGACTGCCAATCTAAACACGAACTGTCAGGAACTGATCCTGTCGTGGCTGACGTTTGGTCCTGCCGCTCTATGCCCTGCCCTGCAGTCTGCTGACTGTATGAAGTTCGTTGTAGAATTGCTCAAAGAAGTCCATTTGCGTCTCCCAGATAATATTGAAACATTGCTCATGATAAAACAGTTGCACCCAACCATTACAACTTCTCAGTTGCATCTATAGCTTCCAAATATCAATTCACATTTACAGATATGGATGAACTCGAGAATAATTGGAATACATTAGGATTTGAAGAGTGGCCAAAGTCATGTTTTAGCAGTACAATGTTATTTTGGGCTGAAGTGAATGATAAGACAAACTCTAGACAAAAGTCCTTTCCTATTATATTCCCCTTAGCTTTAGCTTTGCTCACTCCAATTTTCAAATGCGTCAGTGGAAAGAATATTTTCCCAATTGAGTGCTTGCATTCCAAACTAAGAAATCGCTTTACTGTGAGGTCAGTTGAAGCAATTTTACAAATTCGATATGGGCTAAAGCTGGAGTCAAGGACATGCGTTTCCCTCATTCCTAGTGATGAAATGTTAAAAGGTTTGGGGATAACGGATCCTACAACAAATGAAGATGATCCAGAGGATGTGTTAGTTGCCATAGAATCCTAAAAGATACATGTACACAACAGACTTGTCAACCATTATGTGATGTAAATTATGAGGCTAAAAATTCTAGTTGTTAAGTGAAAGAATCACACTTTGTAATTAACTTTTATTTTGAATGTGATTTCAGTCTTGGTAATAAGTTTTTGTTAATAAACATTTATTTCATCCAGAGTGAATACTTTTGTTTGAAATGTAAGATAATTTTAGTTGTTTTATTTCAAGAACTTGTTTTAAGCAAAATAACGCGTTTTTTTTTTTTACTTGAAATCCCATTTTTCTTGCAGAAAAGACTTGTACAGTCATGTAGTATGAAAGATGTATTATTTTTCTTATACATTACTACATAATAAACGGCATCCCAGTGTTTTGTGTGAAGCATCGCAGGATCTTTGTGAATCTATGTGAGAAATGAGATAAAATTTGTGGGAAGTTAATCCCTGAAAAGTGGCATCACTGCAAGGAGGTAAATACGCCACTCTCATTTCACATTTCACGGGAGGCAGACTCGACTCCAGAAGGCAGCCGGCAACCCAAGGATTATTCTAGCTTTTCAGTTCCTCCAAGACTCTCTACAACTCATAGCAACCCCTAAAATAATAGCTAAGTACCTTGTTAAAGTTTAGGTGATCACTTATTCTTGGGTACCGCCATTTTAAGCATACGGGGCTTGCTTAGGTAATAATTATATTATATATTATATTATAACTTAGATTAAATATCTACAGTTGTTATACGTAGTGGAAGTGACGTTGCTCTAGGTCTACAGTGTGACAGTGGTAACAAGTGACGTATTCTGGTGTGGTGAAGTAAATAACTCACACTCTGCCATGGTTCACTACGACAGGAAGTAATTTACATTCATGAAATTCCTAATGGTCCCCAGATTTAGGTGAAGTGTTTGGCTTCATTATATCCTCTTCGACAATGCCTTTTAGAAAATGAGGAACAGGATTAAAGTGACAAAACTTGGAGTGTTTGTGGTTGTTGGATTGGTCATAACTTTCCAGCTTTACAATAAAACAAAACGAAAATTCACAACCACAAGTAATGGTAAATTTACAAACAGTACACAGATGAACCGGACCAAATTAATTGTAAGTGATGTTTCAACCAAATATACACAAACATTCTCAGAAGTAAGTAAGGCTCTGAAAAATATAACCGATCCACTGATTTACGACAAGTCAATGCTCCCTGGAGGACTCTACAGTGACCTATGGAATAATTCATCAGCCATCACAGAAAACGCGTTAATAGTAGTTAATAGCCATCGTAATATAAAAATCCTTAATTCAAAAACCACGTTTGGGAAATATGATAATCTTATGAGAAAAATAAAGATTGAAAATGAAGAGAGAAATGACAAGAAACTCGTCATGCCTAAACTAAATAGAACAGTAAAGTTTGTCGAGCAGAAAGAGAAGCAACATGTGCCAGGCCCCACCATGGTAGAGGACACACAAAACTCCGGGTGGGGTGACAGAAGAGACGAGTTTACCCGCCGCGCCAGTGTTGTGAGGAGTGTGTGTCGCCAGTTCAAGGTCACGGAGGGGCCGGTTAGCAAGTCTTCACAGGTAGCAAATTACACAGGTATGTATAAAACTTTCTGAAGAATATATTTACCTATGATTTTGCTATATAAAGAAAATACATTTACATATTTTAACCTATTGTAAACGTGCCTCTCTTAAAAACCTAGTGACAATCTGCTCCCCACCTTTCATCTTTTCTTTCGCTCTAATTCCTAAATATCGTTTATCTGTACTGAACCCGTGATGGTGAGGTATTGACGCTGGTCTCTGTGGTAGTGAGACGAGTGTGTGTATGTTAAGTGCGGGTGTCTCTACTATACTACAGGAGCCTACGTGGAGCGGGTATATCCCAACAACTTCCATCTGGCGCGTTCAGCTTCCACCCTCGCCTGCCTCATCAACAAGGTACAGTGCAGTCATAGGATGTTATTAATGGTGGACATATCTCGTAAAGGAATGAATTGCATAATAAACCATTTTCTATGAGATGTGTTGCTGTAGTTGATTAACGGGGACATAAGAGTAATTTATAAACACAGTATCAAGTAATTTAAGTCTATAATTAATATTATTAAACATAATAACACTATGACACACCCACGTCCTCATCCTCCCCCTCCTCCTGTAGGTGGCGTCAACGTCCCTGGCGGTAAGTCTCCTGAAGGCAGATCGCCGTCCAGTACCAGACCAGTGGAGTGAGGCGACCTCCCCCCACAGTGCTGCCGCCGTACTAAAACCTCAGGTCTCTCTCTCTCTCTCTCTCTCTCTCTCCGTTCCTCTTATAATACACCATTATCATTGACTGGATGTGTTTGTACATAATCACCTTATATAATCCACAAATATATGATAATTATACACTTGCTAAATTAATACAAGATTCTATGATGATTTTACTGACTAAATATCTATCTATCCATCTGTAGACTGAGGCAGAGTTTAACTTCGCAAGGAAATACTTCTTCAAATTCCTAATGGTTCGTCACCCTTTCCAGCGCCTCCTGTCAGCCTACCGAGACAAGGCAAGTCAACTTTCCTCTCTTGTAACTGTCTGTCTGTCTTAATGTTAGTTGTTTACAATGCACCCCCAAGACGTTAGTTATTCTTGATAAAAAAAAATAACATGAAGAGAATGATAGATATTAAGATATGGTAACGTGGTGGTGTGGTGACATGGTGGTGTGGTGGTGTGGTGGTGTGGTGACGTGGTGGTATGGTAACGTGGTGGTGTGGTGGCGTGGTGGTGTAGTAGTGGTAACGTGGTGTTGTGGTATAGTGTGGTAATATGGTGGTGTGGTACAGGTGGAGAGAGCTGATCACTGGTCGCTGAAGGAGTTTCGTCGCCATATCATGAACCACGTGAGGAAGGCAATGCCAAGGGCGTCACCACCACACACAGCTCCTTCCTTGGACACAGGTGAGTACTAGGGTTTCCTTCCCGGGGTCCCTGGCGTAAGTGGTTATGTTTTTTTTCCCGGGAATTTGGTTCAAATCCCGGGATTCTTATTGTTATTCATTATCTCTGATTTGCACTGTGTATATACCAACTTCAGTTGAAGCCGAAAGGGCATTTTCAGCTGCTGGACTATTTATTACAAAACTAAGAACAAGGCTCACTGATCGCAGTATTGACTGTTTGTGCTTCTTTAGGAGTTATTTCATGAACAACTATTTGTGTGCATGGCTTTGTGTGTGCAAATGATTCTATTCCTTTTTTTTTCACAGGTCATTCAAGTGTTCTCTTTAATTTTTTTTTGAAGAGTAGGGCTGACAAATGGCATAGAATAATCTTTTTTTATAATGGCTAACTTTGAATGTCATTCCAAATATCACTGAGTTTCTTTTGTTGCTAACAGAATGAGATTGACTGTTTGTGCTTCTTGAAGAGTTATTTCATGAACAACTTTTGATGTGTGCGTGACTGTGTGCACAATGATTTTATGCTACTATTTTTTTCACAGGTCATTCAAGTGTTCGCTTTAGGTTTTTGTAGAATGTGGCATCCAAATGGCATTAAATATAGAATTCTTATTTTTTTATAATAGCTAACTTTGAATGTCATTCCAAATATCTGCGAGTTTCTTTTATGGCTAACGGAATGAGATTAATTAAAATTTTGCTTGTTTAATCATATTATGTACCTATTTTTACACCAGTATGCAAGTTAATAAAGAGAACTTTGCTTCAGTGTAATATTATTTATCAAATCAATTGCCTCTCAAATAATCTACAGATACTACACTAATGAAGTATAGGGTTAGCATATAGCATTAGTTAGTACAAATATCACCTGATGCGGGAAATCCCGGGATCCAGGGAAATATCTGGTTTGTCCCAGAATCCCGGAATGCTAAGAAACCCCCAAAACAGGAAACCCTAGTGAGTACAAGGGGAATAGAAAGAGGAGAGAGTAGAGGCTTTATCGTAACTCAGTACCCCCACGCAGGAGTCGAGCCTAACAGCCCTTACCATTGTACCAAGACAAACTAAAAGAAAATGGAAGTCGATATATAAAACATTTCATTCACTTTAAAATAATACAATAAGGTGTTATTTTTATGGAGAAAGATAGATAAATAGATTGATATTCAGTAAAAATCGTCATACGAATTCATATTGGTTTAGCATGTGCATAGAAGGTGAAGGTTTACAAATACTGTACTGTACTATACACAAAGTACAAGTGTACAAACAATGTACAAGGACAGAACAGGTATAAAAACAATGATAAACAATATAATTCACACTGGCCGACAGGTAAGACTGAACACTCACGTTCTAAGGAACATCAAGACGTGCCCTCCTTCAGCGACTTCCTAGAGTACGTGTTGTCTACTGGCTCCTCAGGTAAATGAAGCTCGTGTGTGTAAGTCATGTAGTTTCATCGTGTTAATATATTTAAGGTTCCTTGTAATTTATTCATTTATTTTGAAAACAGAAAACACAAACCTAACCTATCCTAACCTAATTAACCTAGTCTAACTAACGTAACCAAACTAGCCTAAATTATTGACCCTAAGGAAGGTTAAGTTAGATTACGTTAGGTTATGATATATTAGGTTAAGCTAGTTGTGTTAAGTTATCTCTGATTCGTCTTGTCTAAAAAAATTAAATAGGTAAGGGATTCTGTTCGCAGTGTTTTTTCCAACATTGCTTATCTCTTCGCGTAGATGAGTTCTTCTCCCACTGGGCCCCCTACTGGAGTACCTGTGCCCCCTGCAGTCTTCACTATGACGTCATCGCTAAACTGGAGACCGTACACCTGGACCTGAAGGTTAGTGATCACTGAGATGACAGCTGGTGTTGACCCTTGTTCCAGCTCTGTGAATGTGTGTGTGTGAGAGAGAGAGAGAGAGAGAGAGAAGCTCCTCATACGACAGCACCTCGCCACGGAGCTTTTCCTCCCACGCAATCAAGTCTCTCAGTGCCTAAGCCTGTCAGGACTGGTATTCATAGAGCTGACTGGAGGAGCTAAAAAGTTATGCCTGATCCCACATACAGATCTATGTAACCTCTTGGTGTATCTCCGGCAGCACGTATGGCAACAGCTGGGGCTGAAGCAGTCAGGTGTGCCTTGGTCAAACAGGAATGAGAGGAATGGGTCGTCCAGCCAAGTGAACCACTACTACCAAGGCCTCCATCCGCGCCTCGTGGCCAGGGTCTACCAGCGGTTTGCCCTCGACTTCCACCTTTTCCAGTACGATATCCTGGACGTGTTCAAGGAAGGTGGACACTGCCAGACAAACGACTGTACCGAAATGGCTTCCTATATACGATCTATCTAAATTATCGTAAAAAAACAGCATATGAGCCTCATATTTGTGTTACTCTTACTGAACTTCCTTGTTATGGTGAACTTGTCCTGCAGTAAAATATAACCTTAAAATAAAAATAAATATGATTGTCCTTTTTATTATTTATAGAAATGTCACAAACCCTACAATACCTGGATGGTCATCAGTGATGTGCTCAGAGGTGTGTGTGTGTGCGCGTAATGAAAACGTTAAATATTAGGTTCATGTATATATACCTGTACTCAATCACGTGTTCATACCTGGAACTAACGGATGCCCGCCCCACTATGGGTCACTATTTAAGACTGGAGAAGTCACAAGTTCAGAAAACTATCAGAGCAAACTCTTTTTGGAGTGAGAGTTGTGAACTCTTGGAACAATCTACCAGAAAGTGTTGTGACGACACTGAGTATTAGCTCTTTCAAGACCAGATTTGACCAACAATGGCGCGAGTACAGAATTATTCAGGAGCCAGTGCATGCCCAGTACTTGCCAACAGTGAGTGACGGAGACCTGGCCAACCAGCCAAGCGGCTACCACGCCGATCAGTGGCGAATAGGGTGAAGTACTAGCTTCATGTAAAATTTGAACTTTTTTTCTTGGCCTGAAACAGCTGAACAATTTAAAGTAGTTAATTTATGTCTACAAGACTTTTCCGTGCCCCTTTTTACTTGTTTTCTCAAAAAATCTGATTTTGTAAATTCATATATAAATTTAGATGGTTAGCCCTTCCAACATATTCGTTTTCTTTTATCCGCTAGAGAATATTTTTACGGATAGCTTATATAAATTTATTTTATAATTCATGTTAATTTAGAAGGTATGAATTTTTGTATTATAATAAATATATTTATAAATTACATTACACATAAAATTGTTAATGTTTTTTAAAAAACTGTTAAAGTTAGATGTTGTGGAAACATGGGCATCCACTAGCCATTGGCAAACAAAAAAAATAATATAAAGCCTTTAAGAGGTATCTTAGGCTGTCCAATGAGCACTAAAGTACATAATATGAGGAAATAACTATAAATAACCAGTGTTAATGAGAGAATAATTTAAATCAACCTCATGTTAGCCCTGAAGCTCTTGCGTGGTGGTCCTGATAACACTGCTTACGTGAGACTGGTAGAAAATATGAATCATGGATCTGGTGAATCAAAATAAATACAAACTACAGCTACATAGAGTAGGGTGGACTGCTGAACCCAGAGCTGTGAAGACTTGCCTTCTCTGCTGCATGTTTGAGCAGTTTGCAACTTCGTTGTGATAGGACACTCAATCCTAGTGATTGACCTTACCCAACATAGCGACTGTGCAATTACTATCTCAGATTGTACGACATTCAAACTTCTGAAAAACATATATTTGCGCTCCCAAAATTTTGACTACTCCCCGTGTGTCTACGTCCTGGATTGGCCAATCAGCGGTGTGATACATGCACGTTTACTGCGGTGCTCTGATTGGTTAACCGAACGTGGCGTGGTAGGTAGGCTGTTTCTACTCTCTGAGTCCTCTTCTTTCCTTTTTTCATCCCCCTCATGCACTCTGTTCCTTGAACGGGAGGCGGGACTTAGCGATACGGTCGATCCGGCAAGGGAACCTGTGATAGTGCAGGGCACCCCTTGTCCGGGGGTCACCGGTAGGTGGCAACTTATTTAGACATAACTTATAGTCACAGGTAACCTGGGCGCAGAACCCTACGAGCCCGACGCCCGTCCAAGAGGGGGGGGCGGGGTCACTGCTCCCAGGCAGGAGCCCTGTGTTATAGGTAGGATTGGGATGTAATCACGGAAGATGACCACAAGCATTAGGATTAAACATAGAGATAAGGGACACTCTATTGGAAGAAGAAAAGTGGCAGAAATCACTTATAACAAATTGCAAGTCCCATTAACAAGAATATTTAGCGCCAACGAAGGTTTCAAAGTAATCTGTAAAGATGACTTTGACTCAGACAAAATCCTTTCAAAAGAAGCCAGAGATGTATTTTACAATGAAGGCCTTGTTGTTGTCATGCCACCAAATAAAAAAGCAAAAAGATCAGTTTTCGTTCGTCAAGTCGACCAAGAGATCGGGAGGAAGACATCTGAAGATCTGAAAGATGAACTGGAACGCCAAAACAGTTGGATGAAGATCGAGGAAGTCATCAAGATAAAAGACTACACTCATGTTTTCAAGATTACCTTCGAAGAAGTTTCAATGGCTGAAAAAGTATTACAACAAGGCTTTCTAATATTTAACATGTCAGTAACACCTCATCAAATAAAGAAGGAAACACTCATCAGTCTGCAAACTTGCTTTTCCTGTTACAAATATGAAGAACACACAACGAGAGACTGTCCAGAAAAAGAGAACAAGTACTGCTCAGATTGTGCAGGCGACGACCAAACCTACACTGAATGTAAGAACACACATGTTGGCTGTCTCAACTGTAAGAGAAACGGGAATGCATACATAGGACACAGGACGTTAGCAATGGCATGCCCAATAAAAAAACATATGATAAAGTACAAGGAACAAGAAACAAGGAAAAAGGAACAAGAAAAGAAGGACACGACATACGTCGGAATAGCCAAGAGAGCTGTCCAAGAGGCTCATAGACCAGAATCCACCATATTAAACTTAAGTGAACCAATACATGACAAGGTAATGATTAGTATGATCCATGCACATCTGCACAATATCATTGCACCCGGATCATACAATGAGGAGTTAAGGAAAATGTTTAAATTGAATAACCTACCGGAGATGATATTCCCCGAGAATCCAGAATCCGAAAATTTATTTCAGGCAACATACTCAAGCGAACTGAAAGAAAGACTACAGCTAGACAAACAAAGGTTTGAGCAAGGAGCAACAGCTGATACACAAGAAACACAAGCGAATGATAGAGATCCCAGACAATGACTAGAAGAGACAAAGAGAAGATAGAAATAACAAAAGGACAGACTACAAGACAAAGGATAAGGAGGAGAGAAGATAAAGATGGAGACTGATCACAATATACAACCTGAATCTGCTGAAGATATTGGATTAAAAGTTATCACTACAACAAAACATGGAATCCCAACATCGAGACCAACAGGAGGGACACTAGCAAAAAACGGTGAAGGAGGGATATACAAGTGGACATATCAAGAAAAATCCCTAAGTGAAGATTACGTCTGGACACTAATCACTATGGACAAACTAAAGATTACGACCAATGTCTTTAAAATAGTAGACCCGTCAGAGTTTAGAAGAGTCAGAAGCGGGAAACAGGACGATAGGTCTCCACTCCAACTGCCACAATCCAAGTATAAGAAATAATGGACAATAGACAAACAGTAAGAACTTTAAGAATAATACAACACAACGTAAGAAACTGGAAGACCGAGAGAATTAACCTAAGTATTATATATCAAGAAATGACCCTGACATTATACTAATAAACAGTCACGGTGAGACAGACAACAACAACATGAAACTCTTTAACTATTATGTAAGCCAAAGAAATAAATCGGGCGAGAAAAATGACGGAGTAGCTATAGCGGTTAAAAGACACTTAAAATTTAAACTGACTTGATGATCAGATTTAATTCAAAAATAAAACACAACTCTATAATTACAATACTTAAAGGATGTACATCTTGGGAGACTTTAACGCCAGACACAGGATTCTCGACAATACAAATAATAACGCCGTGGGAAACGCCCTTAATCAATTAATAAATTTAGGGAAAATCAATCATCTGGGACCTAACTTTCCAACCTGGAGAAATCACAATACACAATCGACACCAGACAAAAATTTTACCAACAACAAAGCCTTTTTCAATTACCATATAATACAGGGACCTCTTACAGGCAGTGACCATCTGCCAATTATACTAACACTGTCAACAAGCCCCATACAGATACCAATAAAAAAGAGACTGATAATGAGTAAAACAGACTGGGACAACTTCAAAGACGACTTAGGTAATCACCACTCGATTAACCTACAAGGGAAAACAACAGAAGACATAGACTCAGAAATGGACAGACTGCACTCAGCAATAAAAACATCTATAACCAAACACACTCCTACTTCACACTTTAGAACATTACCCAACAACAGACTACCAGAAGAAGTTAAATTAATCCAAACCATTACAATGAAATAAACAGGTATATGGAAAGACACGGCAGTAACAGATGGCTATATACGACGCAGACAGCACTACAGATAAAATTAAGAGACGCATGTAAGGAAGCAAACAATAAAAATAATGATGACATAATGGTGGCTGACAAAGCAATATATAGACTATAAATTACTACCTAATAATCAAATAATAACCATCGGAGAAATGATGCACTGTCTGAGGAAGTTTAAGGAAAAAGCCCCCGGGCTCACAGGTATTACACGAAATATGATCATGAATCTACCTGAAAACATCTTAAAAACACTATTAAACATTTATAAAGCATGCTTAATAACCGGTTACTTTCCAGACAAACTAAAATATGCTAAAATGATATTTATTCCCAAGGAGGGTAAGGACAATAAGGAAATATTAAACTACAGGCCAATATCGTTATTAGAAATTACCGGGAAACAACTGGAAAAAAATTTTAGTTCAAGACTTATAACCTTTTTAACACAACATGGGAAAACTAACAATAGACAACATGGATTTATGCCCAATAGAAATACCCAAACTGCAATAGCTACAATAACGGAAATAATTGCAATAGAAAAAAGCAAGGGGAACCAGATCAATATAATTTTAAGGGACGTTTCTAAGGCTTTTGATAAAGTTTGGCATTAAGGCTTAAAACATAAAATATTAAAATTGGGACTTAACGAACACTTGCTAAGAATATTGTGTAACTATTTAGATGATAGGAGAGCACAAATTCAAATTGGAGACTTTATGGGAACTATGTTTAATCTTGAGAGTGGAGTATCTCAAGGATGCTGCCTTTCTCCAACACTATATACAATTTATACCTCAGACACACCTCAACCTACCCCCTTTAGCGAATATGTAATGTTTGCTGATGATATTACTCAAATAGTATCATACCCAGGAAAATCAACCCAATTTATGGCACTCTACAGTATACGGTAAGAGCGATA